TGTGGTTTTTTTCTTGTAATTTATACCTTTTATGTCTGTGAGACAAAAATAGCAATCTGAAACGTGATCTCGCTGTTCAGTCCATATCATGGGTACAGCAAACGGCATAGGTCGTGCACCTTTCTTCCAGTCAGTTAAATTTTTCACACACGTTATGCAACCTACATGAGGGGCCCAGGATTTGTCTTGATGGGCGACAGAAAAACCAAAACATTGGTGATAACACTCCAACACAAGATTCGTAAAATTTCGTCGTTGTTTTTTGAATGTTAGTTCTCCGCAGACATAACAAAAAGAGTTAGGATCATTATTACACTTCCTCGACATATTCACAGGGTTAATAAATCACAAAAAAGTGTTCAAATTCAACAACAAATATTTTTATAAGGATTTACTTGTAAGCGTTTCTGTTAATTTACTGCCGTAGTACTAGTTATGAGTATTACCGTATCACAACAAATATGAGGCTAATAGACATATGACAGCTGTCATGTAATAATGAGGGTAGACTGATAAAACAGAATTAGCTGTCAAAGTTCGTGTCGCAAAACCAGTGTTGACCAGTGTTTCATACACATGCAGACCAATCACACAATTACCACACAATCATCGAGATGACGCTTTTAGCGACGCTCACAGCGCCCATAGCCATAGCGGGTAATAGCGGAATGAACTATTTGCACACTAAGAACTATCTAGTCAGCAAGTTGACGTTTCACCGTTTTTTTCAACATTATATAGGTGTTTTTACGTAAAAACCCTGCCGATTAGGTTTCAGCGACCCAAAGAATTTATAATTCCTTACACATCACACGTTTGACCCCTTTTGTTACCAAACACCCCTAACAAGATCAAACTACAAAGCTAATGGCCAGCCGCGATATGAAGAAACAACATCAAAATTACCATTTGCCCTTTTCTCTGGACGTATCCTAATACCTAGAAGTCAATGAACTATGTTACAGAGACCCGACTACTAAACTGTATATCCGGCAACATCGCCCTGAGTTCCGAAGGGAGACCACCCAGCAGCACATGTCGATATCTGAATCTGAGGCAGTATAGGGCGTGTCGTAGGATCATTTTGTCCTGCAGACTTCATTGCCTTCCAAGAAAGTCATCAAAAGTCATTGAGAAACAGTTCTATCGATCCTAGAATCATTGTCACGTTCTCTATTTCCGAAACAACACAACGTATTTTGTTGTCAGGGATTTAGTTTTGTTTAGTATTCTCCTAGATTATTTGTCGCAATTTATATAAGAGTACATTAAAGAAAAAACCATCCTTATAGGATGTTCCGCCATTTTTGATTGAGAAGTCTTGTAGTCGTATCCTTGAACTTACCGAAAAAAGATTCTTAAAATTGTTTTTGATGACAAGAATGTTTTTTTATCAAAATATCGCATCAACCCCTCAGGGTTATTAGCGGTGAAATGATGGATAAACTAGGTTATAGTGCGATATAGTATAATCTTAAACTAAGTGATAATATTTGATTGCTTTAACGAACTGAATTGTGGTATTTAGGTTCAGAGTAAGTGCACTTTTAACGTCTAGTGTTGGTATATCATGAAGAAGTCCTTGTACTGGGAACTCGCGACACTACACTAGAATATGTTTCATAGTTAGGGATGTGCTGCACTGTGGTTGGTCTGATCTTGTGAAGATATTGACGCCATTTTTTGTGTGTAGCAATGTACACATGTATTCTGATACAGCATATAAAAAGCATAATTTTTTCGCGATTACTATTCTACCCTCGCGTTTTGGCATGGGAAGAAGTTTTTCACGACACCCCTTGTGGCCCAAACGAGGTAAGATCGACCTTTATAGGATTTACGAAAAGGAGAACCCAGGCTTCCGCTTTTTCTTTCGGATGCAGCAACTAAATAATTTTATATTCCGGAAGCGAAAATGAATGAGAAACGATTGACCAGAAAATATCTCTGTATGAAAACTGAAAACATATAATTCACTCATCAAAGATCTCCTCGTACACTTATCCTTGAAAATTCGTTGAACAGCGGAGGGTAGCATATTTTCTTAGAGAGTCCATATCCTAAGAAGGCCCAAAATTGTATACAAAACCATGCTAAATATGCAAATTTTGATTGTATGAGCCTGTTTGACTGACGTGATCCATTTAATGTTCGTAGCTATGTTTTTCCCACAAGAGCTAACTTGTATGAACTGATGACATATGAATGACATTGACAAAATATTTTTGTCAGTGCAGGTTTGCAGAGTTTATACCAGTATTGTTAACCACACTAAAATAACAATAATTGTGATGATTACAAGCTTCCCGCCAAGTTATCGGTGTCTTCAAATCAAGAGCAGATCTTTTTTCATTGAGCTTTTGCGCATTGTTGCAAAGAGTCAACGCAACTCTGGCTCTCATGACTTCTATAGACTGCAAATATTCACTCCAAAGCGGTTAGTAGAGTTAACGATGTCCTTGATCGACTTACGGTACATTTTAAGGGTACATATGCCGATGAGAGAGGGATTGACGACACATCTCTAACAATGTCAAAACTATGCTTACCCGCTATTCTCCATCATATCGTTCGGATCGTGAACAAGTCTTTGAAAAAGGTATACTTTCATATAGGGTGGTTGTACCAGTTCCTAAAATAAACAATCCATGAGACCTAGGTGACCTCAGACCTATCAGCCTATTGCCTGTTCTCTCAAAAATGTTGGAGAAAATAGTTAATTTACAAATTTCCAAATATCTTGGCTTTAGAATCTTCAGGATAGCATTTTAAGTTCCTTAGATACAAAAATGGCACTGACTCTTGTATGTATTGATTACTCTAAGGCTTTTGATAGTATCAACCGTGAGCTTTTACTTATGCAACCTGGTTATATTGGTCTTGATTTAAATTAGCAGTATCTTTTTTTGAAAATTATCTTCACGGCAGAACTCAATGTATTTCTTCAAACTAAAAATTGTCCTCAACATCGTTGATACCTTCTATACTAAGTGACATATAAATCGAAACACCCAGTTTAAATGGTTTTATTTTAATAAAATTTTGTATAAGTACTTAATGAAGCATAATAAGTAAATGATAAAAATTTCAAAATGATTGCACTGCTTTAAAGCCCTTTTACCTTTAATAATGTGTGGATGCACCCTGATGTGCTACGCATTCTCCAACGCGCCTAGGCATACTTCTGATCAGGTGGTCAATGTCCTCCTGTGGTATCTCACTCCAGGCAACCACCAACTCCTCTCGAAGTGCTTCTAGAGTCTGAGGAGGACGTTGCAAATTGAGCAATCTCCTACCCATCATATCCCACACGTGCTCAATTGGGGATAAGTCGGGAGATCTTGCTGGCCATGGTAACAATGTGACATCATTATGTTGAAAGAAGTCTATTGTGACTCTTGCAACATGTGGTCGGGCATTATCTTGTTGGAAAGTTGGATCTGCCAGGGTGTCAAGATAGGGTAAAAGATGGGGTTCTAGAACTTCGTGGATATAACGCTGCGCGTTCATGTTACCTCTGATGAAGATAAAAGGTGACCTGGAACCATAAGCTATAGCACCCCAAACCATAACTCCACCAGTGTGATGAACATGTCTTTCAACAAAAAACTGTGGATTCCTCCTTTAACCACGTCGCCTTCTAACCCTGGCACGACCATCGTGCATGCCTAAACAAAATCGAGACTCGTCACTAAAGACAATACTGTTCCATTCCTGATCCCAGAGTGACCGTTGTCTGCACCACTCAAGGCGATTACGTCGGTGTTCTCGAGTTAAAGGGAGGACCCAGTGTGGCCAAAACTTCTCATTCGTCGGTAAACACTTCGCATGCCAATAGGTCTTCCGTCTTCTGCAAGCCATTCATTTGCAATGGACCTGGTAGTGGAGAAACGGTCCCTTAAGGCCAATAATCTTAGGCGGCGATCTTCACGGTCTGTTGTTCTACGGCGGCGTCCAGTGCCCCTTGCTCTTTGCGTACGGCCTTCTCGAAGCCATGCCTGACAACACCTAATCACAGTGTCTACACTTCTTTGCACTCTAACTGCAATTGCCCGAAAAGAAAGTCCAGCTTCCCGAAGTCCCACTATACGGCCCCTATCAAACTCACTAAGTTGACGAAATCGTACAGGTCTCCGTACTCTAGGCATCGTAACCGATCGTAAAGGTTGTCAAGAACCAAAATCCGCCAACGTTGATTCTTTACTGCGGCTGAAATATTCATTTTTAGAGCGTTAGTGAATTAAAAAAAAGCAGTATACAAACCGGAATGTCCAACTGATAAGGCTGAAAATTTTTTCACTTGTTATTTACAGTAAGATAAATACATTCACCAACTTTTATTAAAATAAAACCATTTAAAATGGGTGTTCGGATTTATATGTCACTTAGTATATTTATTAGAATCAATATCCTCGTAAACTTTATTAAAAAAGTCAAATGACGCTGTTTCTATGGATCGTGAAGACCGGTACCCATGTTGACTGTCTGATATGATGTTATACTTATTTAAAAAGCTAACGATTCGTCTAAGCAGCCACTTTTCTATAATTTTTGATATAATAGATAACAGAGATATAGGTCTGTAGTTCTCTATATCAGTCGGATCTCCTTTCTTAAATATAGGAATTACAATGGCAAGTTTGAGACTACTAATTGAAACCTAATATATACCGTCACCCTGAATACCGGTAGTTTGAAAAATCTCACAGGCTAGAGCTGCTGCACAGACACTATTTTTTTTAATACCAAAATAGATCTAATGTGATCATATTGTTCTAGAAAATATCAGGAATTTGTTGGGCCGTATTATTTACCTCAAATTCAGCCTGAGGCATTTTGCAACAATCATATTCGGATTCAGCGCCCCAATTAGCCGCGCCTGTAGCGTGTGAAGTCAAGCGCATTGCGAGTCCGTTCGCGATTTTCAACCCCGTCAATCCGGCAACCGTGGAGCAAGCGCGGTGCACCGCCGATATCAGTTTGAATAGAGAGAAGAGGGAAAATTGGTGTCCTGCCACCCCAAGAGTGCACAAGTGACGGTAGTGAAAATGTGCGCGACACTTCTCTCGAGTGACACTTACGTCGCTAGACCCAGGATGTGGTGTTAGAGTCCCCCAAAAAGCCATGTACCCCCGGCTGAAGGGGCCATCGGCAAATGCTGCCAGACTCCTGTCGATATTTGCCGTCTGGAGCCTAGTTACTATCGGTAGGCACCAAGACACACCCACTCATTGCATGCAGTTCGCACTGTAAACATATGCCCCTCCCCTTGTTTCAATTTTTGCTTAACCCTATCACAATTGCTAAATCTCCGTAGCTTCAATGCTATTACTATCCCCCATGTTTCAGCCTTTGTTTTTACAAGGATTACTCAATCATCTGCTGCTTTGTCTTTGGGATGCATAGGATTAATTTAATTTTTCGTCAAAATTGGCTTTGACAGACACCATCGAAGCTCTAACGTTATCGGTTTGTAGATGGAAAATTGCAGCTTATATTTGGCCAGATTTAACTGTAAACATTGCTCATATCATAGTGTATTTAATAAACAGAGATTGTTAAACCTCGTCCTTAAAATAATCCAATTAATTAACTTTCTAAGCTCAAATTTAACGATACTAGGATTAGAATTTGTAAGGAACTTTGTTTCAATGAGAAAGTTTGCTCTAAAATCTCATGCCGGCATCGTACCAAAGGCTTACATCATTCACCTTAGAATATCATTACTTCAATGGCTTTGTTACACAAGCATGCTTTTTTACTTTTCTAGTTATCATTTGTACTTTTCTATTTTTCTGTACTTTGCTTTGGAAGATAAGCCAGTTTTCGCTTAATTGTAATAATTTATTATTAAAAGTCCAAATTTGTTGTGAATAATATCTCATTATTAACATCTGCTAGTGACTTTTATGATAGGTATGAGTAGTAGTAGCAAGCGGTAACTTTTGCCATTTAAGTCTTACCTCATCTACATTTCAATGTTGTTGTAAAGAAATAAACACGTCTATTATTATTAAACGTTTTTGCATATATCTTGTTTCGCTCCAACTGAATTTTCCGCCAATTTGATGTCAAAAAATATTTCATATAAGCTTGAAAAGAGAGGATATACAGGGTGTTTCAGTTTATTGTTGCATAACTTCGATAGAACTTCTAAAATTAATGCATAAAGTCTATATAAACATGGGTCGAAAAATGCGTGGCTTCTGAAATACAGGGTGTTTAAATTTACAATATTTGATGTATAACAGTGAAAATTGGTATACAAGGGTTTTTTGGTACGACAAAAAACTATGGGCATAGTTTTACTGTAGCCGCTAGAGGGCGCTCTCTACTGCACCTGCAGTGTATTAAAATGACCGAAAAATTTTTCTTAGTGCAATTTTTTGCTTTTTGAATAAAAAAACTGATTCTTCGCACTTTTCAACATAAAAAAGGTCTCTTGTGAATTTTCGTTATAGTTAGCCGTTTTTGAGATATTTTTAAGGTTCGAGGCATTTTTAATTATTTATGGGAAAATAATATTTTTTTTACATTTTCGATTTGGGGATGATCGTTTAGATTGTGTTTTTAAACACAGCAATAATTCCTAACTCCAAATAAACACAAAAAAATTTGTTTAATTTTCCAATATTATTTTTAACAAATTAAATTAATTATTTACAACTAAAATGCTATTGGATAGTTAGGACAAACATACAAAATCTAAAGTAGTTGCTCGAAATGTAAACCCAATTGTTCAATACACAATTCACATCTACGAATGATCGAACGTGGTATAGCATTATTCAAATAAGGCCTTATTTCATCACATGCATTCCTGATTCTGTATATTAGCATATCTCTTGTGGTTACGGGAGTCTGTTACACTTTTTCTTTTAGAACTCTCCACACAAATAAATCTAATGGATTTACGTCAGGGGATCGTGGAGGCCAGGCGACTGGTCCTCCACGGCCGATCCGTCTTTCTGGATAATTTTCGTCCAGCCAGTTTCTAACTATTCTCGAATAATGAGCTGGACAACCATCAAGCTGGAACCAGGCCAATCTTCTTAAATCTAACATAACATCATCCTACATATTTGCATGTTCAGCCTTTAAAAATTCCAAGAAGGTCGCAGCATTTAACCTTGCAGGCAAAAGGTAGGGTCCAAATAGTCGATTACGGTAGATACCAATCCACACGTTCACACTAAATTCATGCTGAAAATTTCTTTCCCGAACTGCATGCGGGTTTTCATGCGACCAAATATGTTGAATTTTATAAGACTTACAAAAAAAACAGGTAAAAGAAACTAAATTTCGTGCATTCACAATTGCAAAAAAACGTTTCAGGTTTCAACAGACAACAAAACTAACTGTCAACTAATTGACGTTTAACCTCATTCTGCTTTCAATTTAAAAAATATTTGCAGGCACAGCCTACTTTTAAAAATTATCGAGATACTGACTTTTTATCGTTATTTTATCATAAATAATTAAAAATGCATCTAACCTTAAAAATCGAAATATCTCAAAAACGGCTAACTATAACGAGAATTCACAAGAGAGCTTTTTTATGTTGAAAAGCGCGAAGAATCAGTTATTCTATTCAAAAAGCAAAAAATTGCACTAAGAAAAAGGTTTGCGGTCATTTTAATACACTACAGGTGCAGTAGAGAGCGCCCTCTAGCGGCTACAGTAAAACTATGCCCATGGTTCGTTTTGCCGTAGCAAAAAACCCTTATATACCAATTTTCACTATTATACATCAAATATTGTTCGAAATATTTGAAAAAAACTATTTTAGAAAGTAAATTTAAACACCCTGTATTTCGGTAGCCACGCATTTTTCGACCCATGTTTATATAGACTTTATGCATTAATTTTAAAAGTTCTATCGAATCTTAAAGTTATGCGTGATTCCGTTTTTTGAATTATGCAGTACATATACGTACATGGTACGATTGTGAAGCTATTTACTAACATTATTGAAATCAAGTTTATCTGCTGTCTACAATCGATAAATCTTTAAAGTTTCAATGCTGTCACTGTAACTGATGCTTATAATTTCGTTTCCACATAGGCTACCCAATCGTCTGCTCAATTTAATTTATCACTAAAATTAACATTGGCGGCTTTCGTCGCATTGCCTAACGTTATGGTCTTGTAGCTAAAAAATTTGAGCTTTTATTTGTAAACTTAAACTTAAACTTAAAATTGAACAGAGATCCTAAAAGATCTACAAATGTGTGCCTAGCTTTACAATAGACCAACCAAATAAGATCGTACGAACTGAATTTTCTACAAATTTGATGTCAAACAATATTTGGTATACAGCATGGAACGAGAGACGCTGAATGTGTTGGATTCCGGTTTTTTTAATTGTTCAATGTGATACGTAGTACGATTGGTGAAGGTAACTCTTTTCTCAAATCAACTCTGATTCCTCCTGCTTAAGCTTTCGTTTTTATGTAGGCTACTCAATGGTCTGTTTAATTTAATCACCAAAATTGACTTTGACAGTATGAACGTTAACGTCTTGTAACTAAAAAAAATGATTTTTTATTTTGCAAACTTTATAGCTTTTTATCTGAAATCGCCATAAGAGAATGTATTAATTAAACAAAGATCGTATTACCTCTACATATTCCACCCTAGTTTTTACAATAGTCCAACCAAACACGGTTCCAAGTTCTCAATAGAAGATACTACTAGGCTCAAAGTTTTATTTTAACTTATCTCAAAAATGTCATGAGGACGTCTTGTATTATTCACCTTGCAATATCACAAAAGTCAATTTTTGCAAACATGTACCTTGTTTCACTAGAACTGAATGTATACTAAGTGACATATAAATCCGAACGCCCAGTTTAAATGGTTTTATTTTAATAAAAGTTGGTGAATGTATTTATCTTACTGTAAATAACAAGTGAAAAAATTTTCAGCCTTATCAGTTGGACATTCCGGTTTTTATACTGCTTTTTTTTAATTCACTAACGCTCTAAAAATGAATATTTCAGCCGCAGTAAAGAATCAACGTTGACGGATTTTGGATGGACTTTCTTTTCGGGCAATTGCAGTTAGAGTGCAAAGAAGTGTAGACACTGTGATTAGGTGTTGTCAGGCATGGCTTCGAGAAGGCCGTACGCAAAGAGCAAGGGGCACTGGACGCCGCCGTAGAACAACAGACCGTGAAGATCGCCGAATAAGATTATTGGCCTTAAAGGACCGTTTCTCCACTACCAGGTCCATTGCAAATGAATGGTTTGCAGAACACGGAAGACCTATCGGCATGCGAAGTGTTTACCGACGAATGAGAAGTTTTGGCTTGTTTTCATACCGGCCACATTGGGTCCTCCCTTTAACTCGAGAACACCGACGTAATCGCCTTGAGTGGTGCAGACAACGGTCACTCTGGGATCAGGAATGGAACAGTATTGTCTTTCGTGACGAGTCTCGATTTTGTTTAGGCATGCACGATGGTCGTGCCAGGGTTAGAAGGCGACGTGATGAAAGAAGGAATCCACAGTTTTTTGTTGAAAGACATGTTCATCACACTGTTGGAGTTATGGTTTGGGGTGCTATAGCTTATGGTTCCAGGTCACCTTTAATCTTCATCAGAGGTAACATGAACGCGCAGCGTTATATCCACGAAGTTCTAGAACCCCATCTTTTACCCTATCTTGACACCCTGGCAGATCCAACTTTCCAACAAGATAATGCCCGACCACATGTTTCAAGAGTCACAATAGACTTCTTTCAACATAATGATGTCACATTGTTACCATGGCCACCAAGATCTCCCGACTTATCCCCAATTGAGCACGTGTGGGATATGATGGGTAGGAGATTGCTCAATTAGCAACGTCCACCTCAGACTCTAGAAGCACTTCGAGAGGAGTTGGTGGTTGCCTGGAATGAGATAGCACAGGAGGACATTGATCACCTGATCAGAAGCATGCCTAGGCGCGTTGGAGAATGCGTAGCACATCAGGGTGCATCCACACATTATTAAAGGTCAAAGGGCTTTAAAGCAGTGCAATCATTTTGAAATTTTTTACTTTTTATGCTTCATTAAGTACTTATACAAAATTTTATTAAGATAAAACCATTTAAACTGGGTGTTCGGATTTATATGTCACTTAGTATATTAACAAATGTTTAGGTCTAGTTTGGTAATTATGGTCATCTTTCTGTTTAAAAATGTACTTGTTTTGATTTGAAAAATTTCTGCAAGACTGACGCCAAAGTAGATTTTTAATGCACCTAAACACATAATTCTGTGGTAAAAAGACTCTATCTACTGATGAGCTACATCACCAGCATAAAATGCCATAACGCAAGTAACAACAAAATTGGAACGGTAAAGAGTTAGTAATACATGCTTACTACAATGGTTTGATAAAAATCTAATTCCATAACAGCTTCACCGTAATTTGTTACAAATTGATTCCAAATTATCATTTAGGCAAACATATTTTCTACATTCAGTATGAGCAGATTCTTTTCAGACTATATTTGAGCGTAGTTATAAATTATTTCTGTTTTCATGGTAAGGTCATCATTACTCAACCCAGTTAGTAAGATATCAGTGTAATCTGCGTACGACACCACTTTACACACAGACAGAAATGCATTGAGGTCATTAGCATACAACAAAAACAGGAAAGGCCCAAGGACGGATCCTTGTGGGTTACCCATATTCAAATCCTTCATCTCACTACTTATCCCATTAACACGTATATTCTAACAAAATTATTCCACAGAAACAATCTGGATTTCGACAGTAGTAGCTCTCTTACCTCTTGACTTTACTAAAGCATTTTATACAATAATTAGTCATTCACTTCTTGTGTCTAAATGCTGTTATTATGGATTTTCTGAAAAACCTTTTTCGTTTATTCTAACCTACCTTGAAAATCGGTTTCAAAAAGTTCGTCTAAATCAACAGTGCTCTACAGCACAAAAAATGTGTTCCGATGTACCACAGGGATCTGTGTTAGGGCCCCTGTTATTTTCATTATACGAGTATATCTCAGATCTAGAAACAGAGGTAAAATCATGCAGCCATACAATTTTTGCCGATGATACCCAGATTTTCTATTAATTTAGTAGTAATGACATGGAAATAGCTAATAATAAAATTAATCAAGATCTTACCCAAATTCAAAAGTTTAGTGGTAGTCATAATTTTCGTTTGAACCGTGTAAAGAAAAATATGCTGGTATACGCAAATAAAACAAAAAGGAATAAACATAAATTTAATATGTAATAAAATAGTCCCTGTGGATCATTCGAAGAACCTAGATATTATAATGGAAGATGACTTACAATTTATTGAACACGTAAGCTATATAAGTGCTATGCTATTCTCAGAGTTTTATTTGCAAATAGGACTGTATATATTACATAAATCTGCGAGAATGCAGTTGTGTGAACCTTTCTTGTTTTCAAAAACATTGCTTAGTGGTTTACTATGCATATTTAGATATTAGAACAAGAAATCGTATGCAAACTAATATGAATACATGTTTCAGACTTGTAAATGATCTCAGAAAATATGATCATATATCGATTTCCATTATTGACCTCAAATGGATGAAAATTGATAAAATGTATAAATACCAAATCCTAAGTCTGACTCATAGGGTTCTTTATTCAAAAACACCATCCGTAGAGGAAATATGCATAAGATTGGTATAAGATATAGATAGATTTTTTCAATTCCACCCCACAATGCGATCAAATTATATAATTATTTAAATTTTAAAAGAAACTAATTCGTTACCAAAATTCAAGAAATTCTACTTAATCAGCAGCGAAATCCGTTGTAACCCATAAGTGTTAACTGACTTTATGTTTTCTTTATGCCTTTACATTAATTATACTTTGTTTTATTGTATACAGGTTTTGATTTTCAATAAATTTTCAGTTTATATACATCTCGTATTGTCAGGGGGTTAGGTGGTATATAGTATCTAAATCCCGCCTCCTGTAATATTCTTACAAATAAAACGTTAATTTTTATTATCATCATCATTATATTGATTTCATGAATTCTATACCTATACAGTTTAAACAGCGACAGTGCATAATCGACATAATCAAAAGCATGAGATAATTCCAAGAAAAGGTCACATATTTGTTGCTTTTATAAATTTGTATAGTGCAGTTTCGGGGCTTTTACCGTTGAAAAAGCAGTGTTGATTTTTTGAGTTCAGTACATTCTTATTTCAAAAATCTGTTTTTTCATATTGAGCTCCAACACCTTAGAGGAGCTCGATAGTAGGCTTACACCTCTGTAATTAGCATAAATCACTGGGGTCATCCCTTTTATAAAGTGGTATAGCCAACGCCAATTTAAGACAGCTGGAGTGTTTGCAAATACTTTGTTACACACGAACTTCGACCTATTATGAAAGCTCTAGAGCAGTGGTCGCCAACCCGGCGATCGCGAGCTACCGGTAATTCTGGTGGCTCACAACGTATTCCAAAAAGGTGTAAAAATCGTAGGATCATCTGTAATTTTTGTAAATTCTCGTAATAAACACAAGCAGCGGCAACACTGCGGTAAGCGATCTGTTCGAGAACGATCTCGATTACTTTGAACGGAATAAATACGCAAGGCAGTTCAAAACTGAACGGCATAAACTCCAGCAGTGGGGCTAGAGTTGGCCTGCAGTTAAAAACATTATGAGCAGTAGTAAGAAAATGAAAACATACCATTTCCATCCGGGATGGGAAGAACAATATTTCTTTAGAGAAGTTAAAGGTAAAAATGTATGATTGTTGTGTAATACATCTGTTTCCGTTGCTAAAAAGGGAATATAGAGGCACTATAACACTGTACAATGGCTTACATTGCTTACGACTAGATAGCTCACTATTTATTCCAAAATTATCAAAGTAGCTCAACACACTGAAAAGGTTGGCGACCACTGCTGTAAACTATCAAACATACAAATTTGAATTCAAACAATATTTTATATGGTTAACCGTTCCCAAAATGAGCGCGAAAAGTGAGAAGCGCTTAATAAGTTGTTCTAGGTGTATGTAATGAAAAATGTGCACATTTTTTTCCAGGGAAATGCTCTGAGGATGAAGAAAGGCTTGTTCGCGACCTTTTCCGAGGTTACAACAAGCTTATACGGCCTGTTCAGAACATGACTGAAAAGGTAGACGTTAGATTTGGGCTAGCTTTCGTTCAACTTATCAATGTCGTAAGTACCTTTTCATTTTGTATTTATTGGTATTTTCTGACTTAAATGACATAAATATATCCATTTGGATATCGAATAAAACCGTTAATTAGCGTATTCTACCTGAAGATAGCCAATCTTATACTATATTTGCACGTCCGTAATTTATGAGAATTTGTCAGCTATGCTGCCGTACCTAGGTAAAAGTTCAGATACTGTCTTTTATAAATTTTGACGCCAATATATTCCTTCATATCATATCATACGAGGCCTGTAAATTATGTGATGAGACTGGCAACGTAGCTTTCGATCTGGCAACACTGGAGGTGCCGGGCTTGGAGGAGAGACAGTGGAACATGTGATCCGCCTTCCAGTACAAGGTTGAACTCGCCCCAGTCATTTGGTTAGCCGTAGCGATTTTTTGTGAAACAGTTTCCCCTATTGTGTTCTAAAAATGAGTGACATCAATTTCGGGGAAACGAAGATGGAGAGGAAAAAAAAGACACACGAAGTCCACAACAAGAGTTTTATCATGCGGAGAAAGGTATATAACAGAAATAGGAAAATAATGGGCAAAATCCGCAAAAAGTGAATTCGAGCAGAAAATAGGATAGGTAACCCGAGCGATACGTATTTCTGCTGGTTGGCTTCATCAGGCCTGAAATGAATGCACATATGCAACTACAAAAGTAGATACACATGCCCACACATCCGGATACGGGTGTAACCTGAGGAACCGAAGATGGAGAGGAAAAAAAGGACACACGAAGTCCACAACAAGAGTGTCCATCTTCGTTTCCTCAGGTTACACCCGTATCCGGATATGTGGGCATGTGTATCTACTTTTGTAGTTGCATATGTGCATTCATTTCGGGCCTGATGAAGCCAACCAGCAGAAATACGTATCGCTCGGGTTACCTATCCTATTTTCTGCTCGAATCCACTTTTTGCGGATTTTGCCCATTATTTTCCTATTTTTGTTATATTCATATATAATAAAGTTTCAAAATCAGGTATCACATGGCGCCCCATTCCACTCAAAAAACGTTCCAAAATACTTCATAATATAATATTCATGCATCAGTTTATTTACCCCTAATTTCAGATTACTAACATGAGGCGTTCAAAAAAAAATAAGTAGATACTGTATATACGGATAAATAGTCGCCCCTCGTAATCCTATGACAAAGAGTGTAACCAGGCCGAAAGTGATGAATCAGATCTTGAGTAGCAATAGCGTGACCTATTTAAGCGGGTGTCAGGGATGTAGAATGTCGATATTCCTGACTTATCTATGTCCGCTTGTTCAGTGCAGTTTAATTGGTATCTTCAACAAAGCCTTTGCTCGAGGAGTCATTAAAATTCTTCGATTCCCCTTTGGTGAAAAAGCCACTAAATTAAACTCAGCTGGAGGCATGAGCGCTCGCAGGGATTTTGCTCACAGGGGACCGATGATCGGCAAAAGAGAACTTTTTGTGGAAGTGTACTGATTGTCGAACCTTTTTGAAGATTCAGAGGTAGCAAGGCAAATTTCTAAAGGACTGTGCATGAATTCTTGCTCAGCTTTTGACATATCTCTTCCGTTTGTCACTGAAATCTGCCACCTTTCTTAATAAATGGAAATTGTCAAAAATAACACCTGTTTTGAATAAAGGCGATCTATCACAGATAGAAAATTGTAGGGCAATTGTTATTTTGAATAACATTTCTGAATTTTGATTGTTAAAAAATTACTTCCTTTTGAAGCCACGCAGCGCTAAAGGCGGTTCTTCCACTTCTCGTAGCAGTGCTGGAACGATACTGGAATAGCGTTCAGCTGGTCGGTTACAGCCATTTGAATGTCTTTGACCGTCCCAAAATAGGTTCCCTTAAGGTGATTTTTCAGCTTCGGAAAGAGAAAAAAGTCACGAGAGCTTAAGTCAGATCAATAAGGAGATTGAAGAACCAAATATTTGTTTTACAGTCCAAAAACTCGTTTGATAACATTTATGTGTGACAAGGAGCATTATCGTGATGCAAAACCCAGTTTTTTCTCATCTGATGAATGGTAGTGAGCCAAATTTAACTCTTCCCCGATAATTCTGACTATCAATCGACGATTTGAACGCATAAGATCCCGGATTCTGTCGATATTTCTATCGGTTCTTGAAGATGAAGGCCTTCGACTCCCTGCCTTCTGAAAATGCCTTAAAGCATCAAAGTTGAGCAAGAGTTTCTGTTGTACTGTGCCCGAGTCTGAAGCAAAACCTGATGGTACACCGTTGCTCGAAAACGTCACTCATTATAAGAACGCAATAGAAAAAACTGTTTCGTTACGGACGACCAACTGGCTCGAGCGTGTTCAAACTTGTAGACTTGTACTGAAGCCGGATGACATGTTCAACTGTCTCCCCTCCAGGTTCGGCGCCTCCAGTGTTGCCAGATCGAACGCGACGTTGTCAGTCTCATTACTTAATTTACAGACCTCGAATAAGGGTTATACTTTGAAGTTGAGTCATTAATTTTCAGATAATGATTGTAGAAGGAAGATAAACCAAAATATGTGTGTAAAAATAAAAATAAAAATTAAAAAAATGTTACCTTGTTTTATAAAGTATCCTCCCGACAAGTATTTCAGTGCGGACCTGTATTTGATCGTGCGGTCTTGGAGCACCGGCATGCCCTCCCACGTGAGGTCTTAAGTCACCTGATTCACGAGCCCTTTGTACTACATTCAGCATTTTCGTAAACATGTGCCATTTTTTATTTCGTTTGAGCCACGCAACAAACACCTCTATTCACTCACGCGTTACCGGCTGACACATTGACTAAATACAACTGAATAAAATTGTACATTGTAGTAAAAACATCGTTTCAAATTCTTTCGCTTTTTTGTTTCCCATGCGATGAACCGATAAGGCGGATTATATCCGTTGTTGCCAAACACGAGCACATAATATTATTATTGAGACAGGGCGGTACTCAAACTTCTAAAGGGCTATAACTTTGTTACTTTAATTTTACCAGAAAAATGTTAAAGGAAAAAACATTTCTTTTGATCAGATCTACTCACTGTTAAAATAAATGACTCAACTTCGAAGTCACCCTGTATAACATCCAGAAAACCAAACATGTCATTTTCTAAATTTTTCGCGATTACAATACTTCCTCGCTCGCACGCGTATGCGTAGGCGTAAGGTAAAAAGCAACTCAAAGCGTTTTTCTTTATCGAATCCCCTTCACTTTCCGATGCCTAAATTTCTTGTTTCTATCTCAAAGCCAGTTATGAAGGTAGTATGGATGTACGTCTTGTGTAACGAATGATTGAGGGACCGTAAGCTTTACGTAGCACTTTGTATTTTTGGGCCCTTTCTCTCAAATGAAGGGTGCTTAAAACCTCTCTTAGGAGGGTGTGAGGTGTGAAATGTTCAGCGAACCCGAATAAAACGGAGTCAAACAGATTAACTCAGAATTTCCCACGCATTTACAGCAGCTTGTAGAACTCATCAAAAGAAGTTTATATACCAAAAATCGGCTGTATACGAGTAAAATTTGCATAATAAGAGAGTTATTTTACTACACAGCAGCGGTGGCCGCAGTAGTAGACTCTTCGGTCTCCTGATCAGTCGCCGTGCGCTGTGCGGGTTCGAGTCCCGTCCCAGGAGAAATTTTTCTCTTGGCTATGGATGTTGGGATTGTCCGTAGGTGGTAGACGGTTTCTGACTGTCGAACGCGGAGGTACCACCCGGCGGATCTCGTAGGCGGAGCCTGAATGTGTGCATGTTGCATGCGGGTCCTACAAGCACTTAAAATAAATGACTCAACTTTACATAAGAGAGGAAAGCGTTATAATTGCGAATATTTTCTGATATATTATGTTTTTTGGATGTCGGATGGTTCGGTAATCCTATAACCGCCTATAACTTGAGAAGTGCCGCTTGGATTTCGATTAAATTTGAATACTATGCAAGAGCAAACAAAAAATAATGAAAATAGCTCAAACGTTTTTTGACGTTCCAGAGGATCCTCATCATTTTAAGAAAAATGTTAGACGTAAAAAACATGTTTAGTCACTATCTGTAGAAATGCGCCACTGAGATATCGTTTTTTTTTTCCAGTGGCGGCAGGGTAGGGGCCAAATACAGAAAAACTAAAAATCGCTCAAAGTTTCTGTTTTGGCGTTCCAGATGGCTTGACGTTGCCATTTTATTGCATTATATAATTTAGTTACTATAATTATATTCAGCTTTTTCGTTTTATGTCATTTTCTCTTCCGCCACTGTAGCGATTTTCAAAACTTACAAGTAATATATAATGCAAATTTTCTTAGAAATCCGAGCGGTACTTTTCAAGTTATGCTGGTAATAAGATTATTGGACAGACCGACTGACAGACAAACAGACCAACAGAAAGACAGACAGAAAATAGTGACTTGGTTTTCTGCCAGTAGGCGTGGAAAGTACAAAGACTAAAAAAACTTTGCCGGAATCGGAATATCAAAAATTTTAGGATTTGGATTAACAAGGATCTCTAATTTTCTCATGGAAGTAGTGATAATCCTGTAAAAATGTTGTGCCTTCACAGCTGCTTGATAAGATATTAAAAAAGGTTCTTTCTTAATTAACAGCTAGTCTTTAAACGTAATAAGGAACTAGTTGGTTATGACATGCAAGACCTGAGGCCTAAACCAGCTTTTCTTTTGTAGCAAGCCACGGTTTGCTTTGCTCAAGATTTCCGTATTAATTGATAATAGTAAATTAATCCTCAAAGATCTCGAGTTGCCTGCTTTTCCAAGAAAATTAATTATACTCGAGAGACTGCCTCCAATTTCTCTTTTTCACAGCGGATAATGAGCAGATAATATAGTGGGTTTAAGCCAAGAGGCAGTTTCCTACAGGATGTTTCAAAAGTAGGATAAACTAAGTAAAGAAGAGGATGATCATACAGGGTGACAAAGTTTCTTGAAAAGTATGGCGTCAAATAGGTTGACACTGATTATGTACGGTACAAGTTAGATCCTCTAAGAAAAATATCAGCAGTGTACATCAAAATATTAGAATGCCTCGATAAACAAACATGTTATTTTATTTATATTTCATTTTAATTTCATCCAGTGGCGTTGGTGCGGACATTGAGCTGAATAGTTTTAAAGAAAAATATGGTACGCCACCAATTTATCTCGTAACAAAAACTAATTTTATATTTCCCATGCACACAAAACGTATATTATAGTGAAAGAAGCATATCATTAAAAACCATGTAGGAATGAGGTTGGAGGTGTCATGTTGAGATTGGGCATGCTCCTTACAAGGACAATTTGATGGTAAATCTATTTTTACAAGGTCAATTCAGCGTCAATGTATAAAAATAAGCTTGACCTTAAATTAGCGTTATAAGGATCATGGTCAAGGTGAACATAGCGCCCCCCAGCCTTTCCCAAGGATTTTAATGGAATATTATTTTCGTTATAATATACTAAGTGACATATAAATCCGAACACCCAGTTTAAATGGTTTTATTTTAATAAAATTTTGTATAAGTACTTAATGAAGCATAATAAGTAAATGATAAAAATTTCAAAATGATTGCACTGCTTTAAAGCCCTTTGACCTTTAATAATGTGTGGATGCACCCTGATGTGCTACGCATTCTCCAACGCGCCTAGGCATGCTTCTGATCAGGTGGTCAATGTCCTCCTGTGGTATCTCATTCCAGGCAACCACCAACTCCTCTCGAAGAGCTTCTAGAGTCTGAGGAGGACGTTGCAAATTGAGCAATCTCCTACCCATCATATCCCACACGTGCTCAATTGGGGATAAGTCGGGAGATCTTGGTGGCCATGGTAACAATGTGACATCATTATGTTGAAAGAAGTCTATTGTGACTCTTGCAACATGTGGTCGGGCATTATCTTGTTGGAAAGTTGGATCTGCCAGGGTGTCAAGATAGGGTAAAAGATGGGGTTCTAGAACTTCGTGGATATAACGCTGCGCGTTCATGTTACCTCTGATGAAGATTAAAGGTGACCTGGAACCATAAGCTATAGCACCCCAAACCATAACTCCAACAGTGTGATGAACATGTCTTTCAACAAAATACTGTGGATTCCTCCTTTCACCACGTCGCCTTATAACCCTGGCACGACCATCGTGCGTGCCTAAACAAAATCAAGACTCGTCACTAAAGACAATACTGTTCCATTGCTGATCCCAGAGTGACCGTTGTCTGCAGCACTCAAGGCGATTACGTCGGTGTTCTCGAGTTAAAGGGAGGACCCAGTGTGGCCGGTATGAAAACAAGCCAAAACTTCGGTAAACACTTCGCATGCCAATAAGTCTTCCGTGTTCTGCAAACCATTCATTTGCAATGGACCTGGTAGTGGAGAAACGGTCCCTTAAGGCCAATAATCTTAGGCGGCGATCTGTTGTTCTACGGCGGCGTCTAGTGCCACTTGCTCTTTGCGTACGGCCTTCTGGAAGCCATGCCTGACAACACCTAACCACAGTGTCTACACTTCTTTGCACTCTAACTGCAATTGCCCGAAAAGAAAGCTTCCCGAAGTCCCACTATACGGCCCCTATCAAACTCACTAAGTTGACGAAATCGTACAGGTCTCCGTACTCTAGGCATCGTAACCGATCGTAAAGGATGTCAAGAACCAAAATCCGCCAACGTTGATTCTTTACTGCGGCTGAAATATTCATTTTTAGAGCGTTAGTGAATTAAAAAAAAGCAGTATAAAAACCGGAATGTCCAACTGATAAGGCTGAAAATTTTTTCACTTGTTATTTTCAGTAAGATAGATACATTCACCAACTTTTATTAAAATAAAACCATTTAAACTGGGTGTTCGGATTTATATGTCACTTAGTATATTTGGTCCTATAGATCTGCCGCTGGCGCATGCACCATTTTTGTAACTCTCGCCGCTGGCCAGGAAGTAATATATTATCTCGTATCAAAAACTAATTTTATACTTCTCATGCACCTCTGAGCAAATGACCCCACAAAAAAACGTGTGGCAAATAGCTCCAGTCCTGTTAGGTTCCGAGAAATAAGGAGGTATTTTGCCCGGATTGCAAAAATGCTGAATGTGCCTACTGTAGTTCTCAAGCCAAATGCTCTGAGAATTGTTATAATGAAGGAAACATGCCGATAAAAACCTTATAGGAAGGTGTTGGAAGGTTTCGTGCTTATCTTGAGCATGCTCCTTATTAGGTCAATTTGATGTAAAATCTATTTTTACGGAAAAGTCGTGATTGTTTACTTGTCTTTGATTATTACCTTGACAAGGTCAGTTCAGCATCAATGTGTAAAAATAAGCTTGTCCTTAAATTAGCATTATAAGGATCGTGGTCAAGGTCAACATAACGCCTCCCAGCCTCTCTACAAGGTCTGTAATAGAATATTACTTTCATTATAACAATTATCAGTATTTGGCCCTCGATCTGCAGTCGGCACATTCACCATTTTTCGTAAATCTCGCTGCTGCCCAGGAAGTATTCAAATCGCGAAAAATTGAGATATTATATTTTTTGATGTTTGTTGGTCTGAAAAGATGTCTACGGACTTTTTTCTCAGGGGGTCAGACTTCAGGGGAACATAATCTTTCCATGGGATAGCTTAGTCAGTTTGACAGCAATTTTCACTTGTCTGTCTAATTTCATAGTTTGTTCATATGTGGCGAATAACTGTCAAAGCTATTCCACGACTAATAACGAGCATAAAAGTGCTGTGCCGCTGGACCACTTTACGTTGACTGAATACGCGCAAGGTTACTTTAACTGAGACTCATTTTTCTTTTTCAGAACGAGAAAAATCAAATTATGAAATCAAATGTCTGGTTGAGATTGGTGAGTATATAATTTTATGTGATCGAAAATGTGACTGAAACTTATCCTGTGGTTCATAGAACTCCATTGTTTGACCGAATCAAACAACGTTTATGTTTCAGTTTCTGTTTATTGGACGACGTTTCGTACACTACCTGCAATCCAATCGTCCCGCCGTGCTTTTCTTGGCGGAGACAAAAATCTCAGAGACTGCACCGATTAACCATCTCAACTTCCCAAACTACGAGGTGCACTCCAATCTGAGAAAGAACGGGGGAGTTGTGGCTTTTGTCCGCAGCAGTCTTTCCTGCTCCAGGGATCTTTCTTTGGAATCAGACCGGAAGGACATTCTGTGGCTTCGCCTCAGCTCCAAAACATCACCCAAATTTATTTGCTGCCTTTATCGCTCTCCCTCGAACCATAACAGGGATGACCTACTCGAATACCTCGCCGTCCAGATCGACTTCCTGAACATCAATCACCCCGCTTCAGAGGTAGTTCTTCTCGGTGATTTCAATGCCCATAATGAGCTTTGGTTGGGCTCAAATAAGACCGATGCAGCAGGTCGTGCAGTCAAAGCGTTCGCTCTTTCTCAAGGGCTGACCCAGCTGGTCACGAGCCCTACTTTTTTCCCCCGCGTCTCGTCACACGCCAGTAGCCTGCTGGATCTCTTTCTGACCACGCATCCTGCCCCTTACAGCACTGCTGTCCTGTCCTCCCTGGGTAACTCAGATCACGGTGTTGTGGAGGTTAGGTTTCGGTCAGAAGCCGCTGTGGCAGCAGAAACTCGCACAGGCCGCAAAACTTGGCATTACGGACATGCCGACTGGGAGGAGCTCAGAGATTTCTTCTCTAGCTTTCCTTGGAGAGATGTCTGTTTCACTGGCGCGGATGCGTCGACTGTCTGTTCTTCAATAACCGAAATTATCCACGTTGGAATGGAGGAATACATCCCTCACACAGTGAAAGTTCCTAAACCAGGGTCCAACGGCTGATTCAACAAATCGTGTGACACTGCTCGCCAGCAGAAGATCAAGGCCCACAGAACCTACTTACAAAACCCCACTGTAGAGAACAAACAAGCCGACGTCGAGTCCAGAAACAAACATAACGAAGCGGTTCGCAATGCCAAAAACCAGCATGATATAAAAGTTAGGCACAGGGTAATGTCGCAGCGCAATGACAGTCGGTCATTCTGGACGCTGGCCAAGCAGATTGAAAAGAACTTTTCACACAGTAGCCTTCCACCACTTACGTGTCAGGATGGAACTATTGTATTCGACTCAAAGGCCAAGGCGGAAGTGCTAGCCAAGATCTTTGCTGCCAACTCCACCATGGACGTCCCCACCAACGCCCAAGTGCCGTCAATTCAAAGGGTTCCCCACACTATGCGGGAGGTAACATTCAGGCATAAGACCGTAAGACGAGTGCTCTTGTCGCTCGACATCAACAAAGCTTCTGGTCCGGACTTGATTCCTGCCATTGTACTGAAGAGATGTGCAGCGGAGCTTGCTCCAGTTCTTTCGCGTCTCTTCCAGATATCTTATGAATCCGGCACCTTCCCAGAAAAGTGGAAATTTGCTCATGTACAGCCCATCCCAAAAAAAGGATCTAAAACCGACCCTTACAACTACAGGCCTATAGCTCTGCTTTCTGTTATAAGTAAAGTGATGGAGAGGTGCATAAATCGCGAGCTTCTGGACTACCTCGAACGTCACAGCTTGATTAGCGACAGGCAGTACGGTTTCCGGCACCAACGATCCACAGGGGACCTCCTAGCTTACGTCACGCAACTGTGGAGTAAACTCATCCAGTCTCATGGTGAGGCTCATGTCGTTGCTCTTGACATCACGAAAGCGTTCGATCAGCTGTGGCACGCTGCCCTCTTAAGCAAACTTCCATCCTATGGCCTCCCAGAAAAGCTTTGCAGATGGGTGGCTGACTTTATCTCTGGCCGCAAGATATCCGTCGTCATTGACGGATTCTCCTCTTCATCCCACAACGTCAACGCGGGTGTTCCCCAGGGATCGGTCTTGGCTCCAACACTGTTTCTCTTACATATCAACGACCTCCTTTCCTGCACGATCAACCCAATCCACAGCTTCGCTGATGACAGCACTCTACATGCAGGAATTCAGAGTGACAAGCCGATCTCTGCCGCTGAGCTGGAAAAAGGAAGACTAGCGACGACTTCTTCTCTGACAAGAGACCTGGAGGCTATCACTGCTTGGGGACGCAACAATCTTGTACAGTTCAATGCTTCCAAAACACAGTACTGTACTTTGACGAACAAAAAGCGTCCTAGCGCTCATACAGTTTCGATTGACGGTCGAGTTCTACCAAAGAGCCATTTATTTCGGCTGGTCGGAGTCCAGATCACCGAGGACCTGATCTGGCACGAACACATCTCTTCAATAGCTGCAGCTGCTGGAAAAAAGCTAGGCTATTTGTTTAGGGCTAAGAAGTACTTTTCTCCGCATGACATTCTCACTCTATACAAGGCCCAGATAAGGCTTAGCCTCGAGTATTGCTCACACATTTGGGGTGCTGCCGCCCCGACTACATTGTCCATGCTCGATGCTGTCCAGAGGAGGGCGGTCCGACTGATCGACGACTCTTCTCTAACAGACAGTTTCGGGACTCTTTCGCACCGGCGGGCCGTCGGCGATCTAGCTCTTTTCTATCGCTACAACAACGGGCTTTGCTCCTCAGAGCTCTCTTCCATGATGCCGCCGCGCGATGTGCCTGCCAGACAGACCCGCCTGACTTCGGCGTCCCATCCTAACCGTGTCAAACTTCGTACGTCCAGAACTGGCCGATACGACCGCTCCTTTGTCCCGAGGGTGTCTAGATTGTGGAACAATCTACGGGAGGAAGCTTTTCCCAGTTCTACTAACCTTAGGCAGTTCAAAAATCGTATTAACAAAATTTCTTTGGGATCATCATAGCAGCCGCGGTGTTCCGGCATTTAGGCTTCTGCCTGCGCGGCTGTTTTCGATATAAAAAAAAAGGGCGGTTCGATAAATACTTAGCCTACAAAAGGAAAACGAACGAAAATACGTTTTCTGGAGGTCTGCAAAGTAGACCTCCGTGGCGGAGATAATCTCCTCATTCGACTCAAATTTCTGCCCGGCGAGTGACACTTTCAAGTTTGGACACAATAGGAAGTCGCACGGGGCCAAATCTGGAGAATACGGTGGATGGGGCGGTCGCGGTCTTTTGAGATGTCTACCGTCTCAGCTGCCTCGCGCACCTTCAATCGGCAGTCTGGCAATACGAGATCGTGAATTTTTTTCACTTTATTCTCCGTGGTATTCGTACAATGATAAATGCCCCGAGTTATACATGACAAAGAGGATGAAAAAATGTCAACCAGCCGCTAAAAATCAATGTGTTCACTAATTTTTATTCTGGGAATAGAAATTAATATTACAAATGTATGTATGTGATCATTTTTTTAAAAACGCTTATACCTGAAACCTAAAGAATTAAAATGGCGCTTGGCCAAGCGATGCTTTTAAAAGAATGCTTATAATAAATGAAACGTCTTCTGGAAAACAGAATATAATCATTCATTGTCATTGTACCTGTAAAAGGCCACCATCGTACAATAAACAGAAATTAAAACATACATGTGGCTTGATTCGGCCAAACAATGGGGTCGTGAGATTTTTTTAATGTATGCAAATAGGTATGGAGCGATTATCAACTACAATGGGATGAAGCAGACTATGGGGGAATCGCAGTGTTAAGGCTACCGCCAGACAAAGTTTGGAAACCAGATATAGTTCTGTTCAATAAGTAAGTATTTGCCAATATGTATTTATAGGTACTTTTTGACATAAATTCTTTTTTAGTGCTGATGGTAACTACGAGGTTAGATATAAGTCGAACGTTCTAATTTATCCTAATGGCGAAGTACTATGGGTGCCACCAGCAATATACCAAGTAAGCTATGGTTTTCTAATATTTGTATGGAGTTATTCATTCATTTAGATTTTATTAGTGGAAAAATGATTCTATTTTAAATTCCACTCAATTAGAACTTTTAGAACCAAAACATATAGTCAACGCCAAACAAAGTGGCGTGCACGTCATCACGATAAAAATTCCCCGACCTAATGCCTAGGTTTCTATCACAAACAATTGCTCTATTGCAGTTTCATATTAATGTGATATATAAATTGTAAAATGGTCATTACTCTCTTATTATGGTTAATAGTCATATAAACATTGTTATTAAAATATCACATAAGTTGCTTTCTGATAAATTTAGACGCATTATGCGAAATAAAATGTTTTGCAAACGCTCCAATCACTTATCGACATGTAAACGCACTAAACCGATTTCGCAGCGTTGACACATTGTCACCTTGAAACTTATTTAAACTGGAAACTGACATTTGTATTAATTTTGACACTGAATCAATTTGTGGCATTTCAAATCTTTATAAATCCTTTGGCCCCGCATACTGTAAATCAACAACTGTTTGTTTCAAAACAAAATTATTCATTTTACGAGTAGATAAAGGCAATTTTGGTATATAAAGATGCCCAAACAGTTAAATAGTCGGTGTAAGGAACTCGTGGCCTCGTTAATGCACTACTTTGAGCAAGAAAGGGACAACAACGGGCCTTTGTTGCCTTTAAATGCTGTTCAAGAGGTAGGTTACTAATAATTATATGTAATGTATATTAATAATAGTGAAATTTTATTTCATTTTTTGTAGCGTGTTGCTGCTGCTTTAAAAATTAGTTTAAGGACAGTTAGTCGTATTTCCGAGGGTGTGAAAAGTGATGCAAATTTAGAATCGCCCAAGAAAAAGCGGAGTTATATTAAACGTGTAACCAACACAGCGACATTGGATACAAGTGCCATTCGAGAAGTGATCTATAATATGTATCACAAAAGTAAGATCTTATTATAATAACTTATCAGAAATTTGCTTTAATTTGTTAACTAAATTATAATGTGATATTACACATGGTTTCAGAAGAACAAGTTACGATACAAACTTTATGGTCTCGATTAAGAGATAGGGCATTATTTGATGGTAGTGCCACGTCTTTAAGGCGGTTGCTTAGAGATCTTGGATTTAAGTGGCTTAAGGACAATCCGCGACGAGGGCTCATGGAACTACCAAGTATAGCTTTGAAAAGGGTGGAATTTCTAAGGCAATACAATCAAGCCAAGGTTGAGGCCTTCCTCGATGAAACTTGGATATTTCAAAATGGGACCATAGGTCGCTCTTGGAAAAATGGAAACTAAAAAAGCGTGAAAGCTATTAAAACAGATGGTAAAAGGTATGTACTTTTACACAATTTGCACTATAAAATTTAAAACTAATATATTTTAGATACATTATATTACATGCTGGAAATGAAAATGGGTTTATTGAGGGTAGTGAAGCGATATTTTCTTCGAAAACAAAATTGAGCGATTACCATGGAGAGATGAACCAGGACAATTTTTTGAAATGGTTTCAACATCAGTTATTAGAAAAATTGGAGAGTCCATCTATGATTATACTGGATAACGCCCCTTATCACAGCATGATATTGAACAAAGTGCCCAACAATGCATGGACAAAAAAAAATATCCAAGACTGGTTGACAAATCAAAACATACCATTTTTAAACACAATGTTTAAAACAGAGCTATTGAGTATTGTTGCTCGGTACATAATGCTTCTTAATTATATATATTTTGGTCGACAGTTTATATTTCTTTTGTTTATTCCTATTCTTAAAATAACTGCTTTTTTAGAAACAAACCACCTAAAATATACGTGATTGATGAATTGGCGGAACAACATGGGCACAAAGTTCTTCGTCTGCCTCCTTACCATTGTATATTTAACCCTATTGAGTTAATTTGGGGCATAGCAAAAGGTTACTATAACAGACATATTGGTAGAGATGGTAACAGTGAAAAAGACTGTTTGGATATGTGGAACGAGGCTCTACAAACGCTTACCCCAGACATGTGGAAAAATAGTGTTCGACATACTGAGCAAGAAATTTTTAAATGGTATGAAAGAGAACGAATTTTTGATCGACCAGACATCGAACCTTTAATAATCAACTTTGAGAGTGATGAAGATTCAGATTCAGACAGCGCTGAAGAAAGAAACTCCGACTAACTTTATTGTACAGAAAAAGCTTACACCAGTAGCTTACCTAATTTTAGAATGCATTTTTCTGTATGAATTCTGTAAAATAAATACCATGCATAAAATTTGGAGGACCCCATTTGGATTTTTATTCAGTACCTTTAAGCTATCAATTAAATATGGTAGTTTCATAGTGTCATCTGATCAATAATTGTCATACTTAATGATTATGCAAGTACAGATCTATAATTTTATTATACTATTATTTTTGTTCTCATTTGAGGTTAATATTGCTTATAAACCTAGATATGTAAATAATAAATTTTATTATTTTACAAAAAGTTTGGCAACAATGTAAATTTTTCAACACACCCACCTTGATGACGTGCACGCCACTTTGTTTGGCGTTGACTATACTTCCATTGTATCACCGTTCGATGAAGTCATTGAGTCAATGAAGAAGTTAAAGCTTCTACTTGGAAAAATAAATACTGGCGGTAAGGTGAATAATCGGATGTAAATATTAGTATCCCAAGTCAAAACTCAATCAAGAAGCAGCCAAAAAAGTGAGCTCCCAAGTTAGAGTAAATAAGGAATAAATTACCTCTTAATTCTTAATGTAAATACTCGTCCTTTCGCAAGATTGATCGGACCCAGACTTGTGGTGTTTACTTTATAATAAATTGTCCGATCCATGAATCAATTGTATATCAAAAAGTTATTGCAGCGAAATTCTGTTGATTACCGCATATTACTGGTATTTGAGACGAAATCGTTGTAATTGTGAAATCTTAATGTTTTCTGTTTTTTTTTAGTCGCCGGACTTATTTGCAAAAAAAAGAACATTGAAACATTCGCAAGCTATGTTTCTAGTTTCCTAAAACGTTTTAGCAAATCGAAAAATGTAGAGCTTTATTTACCGTCACTTCATGATTTAGGTGAAAAGTAGTTTTGAGATTCAAAGGCTTCGGATATACTTTGAAGTTGAGTCATTAATTTTCAGATAATGATTGTAGAAGGATGATAAACCAAAATATGTGTGTCAAAAAAAAGTTAAAAAAATGTTACCTTGTTGTAAAAAGTATCCTCCCGACAAGTATTTCAGTGCGGACCTGTATTTGATCGTGCGGTCTTGGAGCACCGGCATGTCCTCCCCTGTGAGGTCTTAAGTCACCTGATTCACGAGCCCTTTGTACTACATTAACAAAGGCAGGAGGGGTTGGTTGCACTCGATTGGGAAACCGATCCCCATAAATCCGTGATGCCGCGGCAGCATTTTGTAAAGACTCCCCCCCCGTAAATAAGAATCATGTCCACAAGTTCAGCATTTTCGTAACATGTGCCATTTTTTATTTCGTTTGAGCCATGCAACAAACACCACTATTCACTCACGCGTTACCGACTGACACATTCACTGAATACAACTGAATAAAATTGTAGTAAAAACATCGTGATAAGCGTTTCAAATTCTTTCGCTTTTTTGTTTCCGATGCGATGAACCGATAAGGCGGATTATATCCGTTGTTGCCAAACTCGAGCACATAATATTATTATTGAGACAGGGCGGTACTCAAACTTCTAAAGGGCTATAACTTTGTTACTTTAATTTTACCAGAAAAATGTTAAAGGCAAAAAACATTTCTTTTGATCAGATCTACTCACTGTTAAAATAAATGACTCAACTTCGAAGAATTTTGGCTTACAAATGTGTTTTCGCTTGCCGCGCCAGTGGTCGAGAACGATATACAAATGAAAACAAAAATTGTTCAAACTTCTAAATTTCACGGACTGATGGTCATTTCGGATTTTTTTTTTTTTTTGAAGAGTTGGAAATAGGGAATTGAGGTGTAGGTGGGAGGAGATTGTAAAGGTTGCATCTTTGATATCAGTGAAAGACGTACTGTTATCGAGAATCCCCGTACTATCACACAACTGTTAGACTTAAATAGTCACACACATTTTTCATACATTTGCCATTGAAACAAATGTGAATATTCATTTTCGTATTTAGAAATACGGTAAACTTGCAAGCAAAGATGCAATTGGGTTCTTTATATACCTAACCTGGTTTCGATGTCATTTGAGTCTTTTGAGTAGATTTTACCCTTTCTTTTTTTTGTTATGCATGTGCGCAGTAGCTTTTTTCCTAAGAGGAGCTAATTTATTTCACTTCCGTGTCCCAGAATAACAGTTCAACCTCTCGTGATGCGTAAAAAAGATTTTTTCTCGGATAAATTTTGCACACTATAATTTTTAGACTTCAGTAACGAGAACTGGAAGAAAACTGTTTTCTCAAATATGCCTAATATTATCAAACTCAAGCAAAGGTACATTTGTTAAACTAAAGTATAAGCATTACAAAAATATTATTTTTCAGCCGTTATTATACAGGGTGTGAAAAATATCCGCACCTTTGCGTCAAGACTAATCTGTCTCTGGTAATCAAAATGTTTTTCTTGGACACCAACAAGTCAGCTGTCAAACTCTGGTTAAATTAGACAATTTCGTTCAAAATCTATTTAAAAAAAACCGATTTTCAGTAGCGTCCTTGAGGCGCCTGTATATGCAGAGGGGACCCCCGTAGCACATTTGTCTCTAGGAACTTGGCATTGTTCTTTTGTTCTATACAGGGTGACTTCGAAGTTGAGTCATTTATTTTAACAGTGAGTAGATCTGATCAAAAGAAATGTTTTTTTCTGGTAAAATTAAAGTAACAAAGTTATAGCCCTTTAGAAGTTTGAGTACCGCCCTGTCTCAATAATAATATTATGTGCTCGTGTTTGGCAACAACGGATATAATCCGCCTTATCAGTTCATCGCAACGGAAACAAAAAAGCGAAAGAATTTGAAACGCTTATCACGATGTTTTCACTACAATTTTATTCAGTTGTATTCAGTCAATGTGTCAGTCGGTAACGCGTGAGTGAATAGTGGTGTTTGCTGCGAGGCTCAAACGAAATAAAAAATGGCACATGTTTACGAAAATGATGAACTCTAGGCCCGATTTTAGTATTGGACCAATGAGTAGGCGTCTTTGAAGTAGTGGATCTAATGATGATGTCTCTCAAACTACAGAATCATTATACGGTTAGTGTAAGATAGGCTCCTATTTCCCATATTGAATCAAGAAATACTTCATAATTCACATTATTTAGCTGCACAAATCTGTTTTTCATTTTTGCCCAGACACAAAAGTCGACGAGAACTCCACCAATGGAAAAGAAGAATTTGTGGCCTACTTGAAACGTGGATCAAAACTGAGCCAATAGATTAACATGACACTAATAAATTCTCTGAACACATCAATCAAATTACAGCATGCTTATTCTTCAATAAGCATCGAGAAATATTTGACAAGAGTTCGACCATTAGATCCATCACTTCAATAACGCTTTCCCATTGGTTGACTTTGGGCCCTAGGCGCACTTTTGTGCTCCGGATTTGTAAAATCGGGCCTTAAATAATCTACTAACAGTGCTTAGCTAGCTCTCTTATGTATTGAAAATAGAAAAAATATAAATAGTATTTTATTAATATGATTATCTTTTCCAGAGCTCCTGTACGATAGATGTAACATATTTTCCCTTCGACCAGCAAACTTGCATCATGAAATTCGGTTCTTGGACGTTTAATGGCGACCAAGTGTCCCTAGCTCTGTACAACAACAAGAATTTCGTAGATCTGTCAGATTACTGGAAATCTGGCACGTGGGATATCATCGAGGTTCCGGCGTACCTTAATATTTACGAAGGAAACCATCCCACTGAAACAGATATTACGTTTTATATCATTATTAGAAGGAAGACGTTGTTTTATACAGTCAATTTGATACTTCCGACCGTACTCATTTCATTTCTTTGCGTGCTAGTTTTTTACTTGCCAGCTGAAGCTGGCGAAAAGGTTAGTATAACATATATGATCCTAATTAGAGCAGATAAGAAACTAAATTGGGGAATCCTTTATAATATAGAAAAAGCATGAAATCCGCTAGTTTTGTAAAAAGTGGACCAAATCTATCGCAACCTTACCTGCAGAAATTTTTGTATATATCTGAGCCACCACGCAGGCCTAAGGCCAAAAAGGGTAGACGTCACATGCTTATATTCTTAGAGATCCGCCGGGTGGTACCTCCACGTACGACAGTCTGAGACCATCTACCACCCGAACAATCACAACATCCATAGCCAAGAAAAAAATTCTCTTGGGACGGGATTCTAACCCGTGCAGCTCGCGACGACTGATTAGTAGACTCATAGCGTCTACCACTACGCCATCGGGCTGCCTAAAAACGCATGAAACAATGGATACGAGTATTTTTGATGGCTCACTACGTTCAGATGCTCACACTATTTGTGTCAGTGGTGTGTCCAGTACTGTCAATCTTGGCATTAGCCGTGCATGAAAAATGGCATTTTGGAGACCATTTGACTCAAAGGAAGCTAGACCTTTGGTCAAAACTACACATCTGCGCAATACCAAAGAAATACTGACATATTAAATCTTATCAGGATAAAATGTGACGCTTTTGTCAGAGTTTTCTTTTATGTTCATACGTAACCAACTTGGGTTTTTCTGATTTAGTTGTGAAAAAAATAATTAACCATTTATTATACAGGGTGGTTCAAGGAAACAGTGGCAATATTCATAGTGCAGAAACCAGGCCTAAGAGTCATACGAAAAGCTCATACGATACGAAAGAGGTATAGTTAAAGTGAGATAGAAGAGGCTTTGTATTTTCTCTGACTATTCTGTCATTTGACCTTGATCATGACCTTGAGGGTCAAATCAATGTCAAGACGATTTTTTTAATGTGATCCTATACTTTTGACCTCGGATAGAGCAGATTATTCTACGTTCAGGTATGACCTTGAATGAAACTAATTGTGACCTTGAACGTTCTGCTTAAGATCATCGTAAAAGGACATCGTTTGAAAATATTTCAAAGATCTTTCTGAAGATAGAACGAACATAAGGGCCCAAATGCAACAGAATCTTCGATTTTCCTCTAGCTATTGACTAATGACCTTGGAACTGAGTTATACGATAACTTTTAAGGTCAAATCAATGTCAAGAAAATGTTTTTTTATAGATACCACATACTTTTGACCTCAGAAATAGATAGAACGGGAAGTTGTGTGTGTAGCTATGACCTTGGCATCAATTAGTTTAACCTTAAACGTTTCTGTTAGGGTATCGTATACACATCGCTGGACAATTTTTCAAGATACAGAAAAAATAAGGACTCAATAGAGAGCAATGCTTCAATTACCCTGGCTATTCATTGGTAACCTTGCAGCTGACCTTAACCATGATCCTGACAGTCTAGACATTTTTTGCATGGCCCCCTATACGATTCATCAAAAAATTTTCTTTCAGATATTACCTTGACTAGAGATATTCAGGACCAAAATAGTTTTTACCCAAAATCATATTTAAAAATTTTACGTTTCATCTGTATCCGAAGGTTTCTTTTGAAAATGTATTGACCTTAATTCCACCTTCAAAGACAAATTTTAGGTCACGACTGAATAGCAAGGGAAAAATCCTCAATCTTTACTATTTTAGAGTCATCATACCCCTTGAATGTTCTTAAATATCTTGCCGTTCTGAAACTTTTGTGTCACCCTGTACTGGTCCTGAAATGCCTCTTACCGGCAATTCCTTTTAAAGAAAAAATAGTTTAAATGTTTGAGATGAAATTGACTTAAATACCTCTTACTCCAAAAATACGCTAAAGTTGGAGAGTTTGGCATTAAAAATTGTACGTACGGGAGCAAGGTTAGCTCACCGCAGCATTATTTGAGGAATATTCATGTTTTGTCCTTATCCAGTCTTATCAGTGGTGTATGATTTACAACTGCGTTCGATAGCTTTAGGATTCGCATTAATAGGAAATACCCATATTCTATTTGTATTTAGATGTATATTTGCCGTAAAAATATATTGCCATTGTTTTTTACCACCATGTATACAGAGTGTCCCAGAATATATGAAGTAACTAATATTATATTTCAGGTCACATTAGGAATTAGTATTTTACTATCACTGGTCGTGTTTCTATTACTTGTATCAAAAATCCTGCCACCGACGTCACTAGTGCTACCACTTATCGCAAAATATCTTCTTTTCACTTTTATAATGAACACTGTTAGTATCCTTGTGACTGTAGTCATAATCAATTGGAATTTTAGAGGTCCTAGAACGCACAGGTAAGAGAATTTTGAAATAAACAACTAGAAACACACAATACCAATACTGATGCACTTATCAGCTGTAACAAAGTAAGGTAACGGTTCTGTATTTTTTCAGGTAAAATATTTCTAAAATAGGTCAAAGCCGGGTATTTACATACATTTCGATCTCTAGATTGCCAGTTTCACAAAAACAAGATCAAGATCAAATTCCACGTCACTGTTGAATTCCTTGTTCAAAGTGATACACCTCACCTGACAAAATACGGAGCTATCCCTTTATTTTCTTACACTCCACTCGGTATAATCATTGATTGATGTATTCTCCATGAAGATGTCCAAACGTATGCTATATTTTTCCGTTCATTTTCATGTAAAGGTTCAAATTATAAATGGGCACAGCACATGCTGCGTTGTAAACTGTAAAAGCGATGGAAAAAACAGTACGCAAATTTTATATGTTCCCTACAGCAACATGGAAATTAAAGCAAATAAAAATCAGTATGTGGTAACAGCTGTAAAGAGGAAAAAGCAAGCAACATAACCTACAGTATATTCAGATAAGAGATAGACCGGACATAAACAAGACCACGTGATCATCGAACGCTGTAACATTCGGCAGGGACGTATTAAGAGTCACGCAGTACATATTTTAGATAGTAGATGCTGCTTTGCGTAACTTTGTAGTAAATTAGCACAATTCGATGTGTATACGATTGGTGATGGATATAGGATCATGTGGGGGTGGGGTAAAAAATATATAATGATGTAAATATACATAAGGGCTTCAAAATTTTCGCTTCGATTTCCAGCTTCGGATGCCGCCTGATGTTTGGTGAAATACAGTCGAATATAATCTCAAAATGGCGTTTAAATTAGCCTAAATTAAAAATAATCGTATATCTCTTAAAATTGCTTTAAGAATATTGATTAGTATATTTTTTGATTTCTAGGTAAATGTTACCTACATATTACAAATTAAAACGTTCAAAACGTAAAAAAATGTGCATGGTTGAACATTGTCAGAAAGTAGATTCTTGAATAGGTTTTGCCAAAATGGGTTCAAAAATGTCAATAATTAATTAAAAAATACAGTAGCTTTATAATTACTTATAACTTACCGAATTTGATGAACGAGATCTTTTATTGGAAAGATGAGCTTGATGAGCTTTCATCATCGCTACTGCCTGAAGCACCAACGTCAATAATGAATGGCTCGATTTGTTCCTCTAAAATATTGTCCAGTTCCCAAATTCTCTTTTCAACTTTGTCTTTCACGTGCTTAATACAGTTTTCCCATTTTTGCGCTGTTATTAATTCTAGTGCTTATTTGAAAAGTCCTTTGAGGTCACAAAAAAAAAGTTGTATTGTGCTTAGCTATATAATTTTTAACCTCTGCCCATATGAGCTCAATGGGATTGAGCTCGCAATGGTATGGAGGTAAACGGAGCACAGTTTTATTTTGACTTGCTGCCATTTCGTCAATGGCGTATTTTTGATATTCCGCCTTGTGATCCTTGACAATTCTTAATAATTGTACTTTCAACATTGCTTCTTCAAAGTTGATATTTTTCGAGCGGAGCCAATTTTGAACATCAACTTTCCTTGAAGCCGTTGTTGGGACCTTCTCCATTCTTCGAGAATGATAAGGCGCATTATCCAACACAATTACTGCGTTTTCCTCTAAGTTCGGTAAAATTTTTGAAAACCACTGTTCAAACGATTCGCCATTCATTTCCTCGTGGTAATCTCCAGTTTTCTTAGACTCAAAGCACCACAGACCGTCAACAACAAATCCATCCTCACTGCCAATATGGCAGATAATGAGCCTTTTCCCTTTACCTGGAAATCGAAGTACTAACTGGTGTAGATTTATTTCAATAAGCGAACCTTTTTCAAATGTTTTCATCACATTTAGCGAAAAAACATTGAGACATGAGTATCAGATTGCTATAATTGGGATTATTTAGTCATATTGAAAGAAAGAATATTGAACGTCGTATGATTACTCAGCGCTTCATAATTTAATTTAAAGTTATAAACCTTTAAAGATGAATGATCAGGAACCTGAAATACACGCAAATATTAATATTAACAAATTATAACTTTATAAATCTTAAAGTATGAATTAAAATGATTAGAAATATTAGGAACGGTACACAATATAAAACTTAGTAACTTTTTTTAAGTTTATAATATTCAACATATTTTAAGATTATTTAAAAAAATTATTGAAATATCGAAAACACGTAAAAACATGGCTTAAAAAAGTTCTAACAAATGAAAATGACAATAAAACATCCACGCATTTTATCGAAAGTTATAAAAGTTTTGTTACTTGTAATATGTTTTATCTGCCCCCTGGAATTAATGTTTAGAACCTTGTTCCCAAGGTTTGAAAAACATCCCATTGTTGTCTATTACTCGTATTTACCTGCTGGATTTTTTAATCCGGTGGACAGTCTATCTAGAAAGGCCCTTCTGGATGAAGTTACAGAATCATCAACCCATACTTTACTTGTAGTGTGTCCTGCGTTTACCCACGTTTCATCAAGGCAATAAATCTTCCTGTTTTGATTTCTATATTTCCCAATTTTTGTTAAATAATCCCTCCTCCATAGCACAATTTCTTCTCTATCCAGTAGTAAACTATTACGACCCCGTTTTTTCCATTTGAAATTTAAATGCTTCAGTAACGCATGGAAAGTTGATCGTTTGAAATTTGGCAACGTTGTATCTCCATTTACCTCCTGCAGTACTTTATCTATAGTAGGTATTTCATTCCTAAAGAAGAATTCATGCACTTTCCTCCTAATCGCATGCTTATCAGCTTCATCCAATGATTTAACAATACTTTTGCGATGTTTACTGGTCATTGGCTCAGAAAAGGTGTGATTTTTTTTGTATTGTCCTAACACATTAAACAATGATGCGCGACACACCCCAACTTTGTGAGAAACCTTCACAACAATTTCTTTGATGGTTGATGCCTCGTTCTCCTCGCGCTCGATCTTATATATATTCAAAATGACCTCTTTCATTTCTGCACTCAGGTGTCTTTTTTTAGAGCGTTTCCTAGGTGGACTACAGGAGTTTACAACTTCATCGGCAGTATCTGTACTACTGGGCATTTTGCGCAAGCAGTTGATAACAATAACAATCAATAACAAGGTATAACAATAACAACGACAAACTCAACAACTTAATAAGATAACAAACGAAAACGTCCAAAGAAATATCAAATTGCAATGATGCACACGACATACGTAACACGTCTGAACCTGAATGTGACTCTGCCTTGATACGACTGCTCTGCCGCTCGGCATAGGCATTTAATTGCGAATTGACCAATGAGGGCTCCTGTTTTACGTCGAGACGGCGGCGTTAGCGTGAAAATCACCCGAACCTTTTGTTTACATCCGGTCTATCTCTTATCTGAATATACTGTAGTATAATATTTAATGATTACCATACTGCGCGCAAAAATTACGACAAAATAAACATTAAAATAATTACGTGACGTGAAGCTAACTCAAAAATATGTTTCATTAAGAAGATAGATACTACCATTTAATGATGTTAAGCAGCTTGTTTGTTCGTCCTAAGCTCTTGAACGCCCCGCCCCCACATACTCTTCTAGCACTTATTTATTCCCTTTTTGAATAGTTTAGGGTGGCAATCTTCAATCATGTTTTATGGACTCAAATCACGTACGTGTTATCACACTCATTTTTTTCTTAATGCACGCAAATTGCTTAGCGTTTAATCTGCACCACCACCTTTTGAAGTCATTTCATTTGGATTTATTTAATCTCAATTGAAAACAAAAACTACCATTTTCCTTTTAAAGAGAATTATGTATTCTTATACATGACATCAACCTTAAAGAAAGAAGGAAAAAAGGTCACTCCTTAATATCCCTCGTAATTATCCTGAGAATTTTTTTTCTATATCTATTTTCGCGCAGGCACGGCACCAATTGTTGAGCATCTTCTGGGGGAATATGTTAATCAGTGTTATTATTAAATCCTTATTTTCAGAATGCCTTCGTGGATAAGATCAGTGTTCCTAAACTATCTTCCAACAATGTTATTGATGAAAAGGCCTCGAAAAACGAGACTTAGGTGGATGATGGAAATGCCTGGGATGGGTGTTCCACCACACCCATATGGTTCACCCACAGATATTCCTAAGCACATAAGGTCAGAACTAACTTTGAGAATTTTGTAATTGTTGAGATGTTTGAGAATTATGAGGATTTTGAGAAGTCTGAGAATTTTGCGAATTTTGAGAAGTTTGGGAATTTTGAGTTTTGAGAATTCTGAGAATTTTAGGAATATTGAGAATTTTGAGTTTTGAGAATTTTGAGTATTTTTAAAATTTTGAGATTTGAAGAAGTTTTGGTATCCCGGGAATGTTAATAAAGTGACATATAAATCCGAACACCCAGTTTGAATGGTTTTATTTTAATAAAATTTTGTATAAGTACTTAATGAAGCATAATAAGTAAATGATAAAAATTTCAAAATGATTGCACTGCTTTAAAGCCCTTTGACCTTTAATAATGTGTGGATGCACCCTGATGTGCTACGCATTCTCCAACGCGCCTAGGCATGCTTCTGATCAGGTGGTAAATGTCCTCCTGTGGTATCTTATTCCAGGCAACCACCAATTCCTCTCGAAGTGCTTCTAGAGTCTGAGGAGGACGTTGCAAATTGAGCAATCTCCTACCCATCATATCCCACACGTGCTCAATTGGGAATAAGTCGGGAGATCTTGGTGGCCATGGTAACAATGTGACATCATTATGTTGAAAGAAGTCTATTGTGACTCTTGCAACATGTGGTCGGGCATTATCTTGTTGGAAAGTTGGATCTGCCAGGGTGTCAAGATAGGGTAAAAGATGGGGTCTAGAACTTCGTGGATATAACGCTGCACGTTCATGTTACCACTGATGAAGATTAAAGGTGACCTGGAACCATAAGCTATAACACCCCAAACCATAACTCCACCAGTGTGATAAACATGTCTTACAACAAAAAACTGTGGATTCCTCCTTTCACCACGTCGCCTTCTAACCCTGGCACGACCATCGTGCATGCCTAAATAATATCGAGACTCGTCACTAAAGACAATACTGTTCCATTCCTGATCTCAGAGTGACCGTTGTCTGCACCACTCAAGGCGATTACGTCGGTGTTCTCGACTTAAAGGGAGGACCCAGTGTGGCCGGTATGAAAACAAGCCAAAACTTCTCATTCGTCGGTAAACACTTCGCATGCCAATAGGTCTTCCGTGTTCTGCAAACCATTCATTTGCAATGGACCTGGTAGTGGAGAAACGGTCCCTTAAGGCCAATAATCTTAGGCGGCGATCTTCACGGTCTGTTGTTCTACGGCGGCGTCCAGTGCCCCTTGCTCTTTGCGTATGGCCTTCTCGAAGCCATGCCTGACAACACCTAACCACAGTGTCTACACTTCTTTGCACTCTAACTGCAATTGCCCGAAAAGAAAGTCCAGCTTCCCGAAGTCCCACTATATAGCCCCTATCAAACTCACTAAGTTGACGAAATCGTACAGGTCTCCGTACTCTAGGCATCGTAACCGATCGTAAAGGATGTCAAGAACCAAAATCCGCCAACGTTGATTCTTTACTGCGGCTGAAATATTCATTTTTAGAGCGTTAGTGAATTTAAAAAAAAGCAGTATAAAAACCGGAATGTCCAACTGATAAGGCTGAAAATGTTTTCACTTGTTATTCACAGTAAGATAAATACATTCACCAACTTTTATTAAAATAAAACCATTTAAACTGGGTGTTCGGATTTATATGTCACTTAGTATAGTTTTAAGAGTGATGATGATTATGAGGGTTCTGAGAGTCGTGTTTTAAAACTTTTAAGGTGTGAGTTTCTTATACTGTCCAATTTATGATAATGCATAAAATTTTTGATTTTTTCACAGCTCAATCGAATCCCAGAGCAAGGTAGAGGTGATGGAACTATCGGATCTACACCATCACCCCAACTGCAAAATAAATCGGAAACCAAACTCCGATATGGGAGTTGGAGTTGGTGCTGAAAGTTGTAGGAGGGAAAGCGAAAGTTCTGATTCGATCTTGCTTTCTCCTGAAGCCTCTAAGGCCACCGAAGCGGTGGAGTTCATTGCTGAACACTTACGCAACGAAGATCTCTACATACAGGTTAGTATGCAAGCAGACAATGTGTTAACGAAACACACACTGGTTAAAACACTTCATCTAATTCTTGGTTTTAGACTCGAGAAGACTGGAAGTATGTAGCGATGGTGATTGACAGACTGCAACTTTATATGTTCTTCATAGTGACCACAGCGGGGACAGTGGGTATTCTGATGGACGCTCCCCATATATTCGAATATGTTGATCAGGACAGAATTATTGAAATATATAGGGGGAAATAAAAGGTCAGGTAACGGCTGAAAATCATGTGGCTTCCACTTGAGACACTCAAAGGCCTACCAGCAACTGCAGGAGAATGTGACAGTTGACAGTGCGTTGAAAACAATCGGTCGTGTGACACTGTACAATAATGGACAAAAATATTGCACATGACAAGCTCAATTATTTCAATCCTGTTTATAAAAATCGGAAAGTTCGCAGTTTTGACAGTCTTCAGAAATTTGAAAATTTCGAAGGTTTTGAAGGTTTTCACAGTTTTGAAAGTGAATGCTTTGAAGACATCTAAAGTTTCAAAAGTTCTGAAAGACTTGAAGATGTTTAAACTCTTGAAGCTATTATTTTATAACGTCAATCCAGGTACTTCCTTTGACTTCCTAGCAATCGCAAAGTTCAATAATTTTGTCCATTATTGTTCGTATGCCTGGAAGGGATCGTGGGTGTGCCTAGTTGACAGATTTTTTTGTTATATCGCTGAATGACAATCGAAAGTATCCGTGAGTGATACGGAAACTGAAAAAACGATATCGCGTCATCGTTGTTAAACAATTTCGTACGTATATTGAGGGTTGGACCTTTTCTACTCAAAATAGTCAGATTATTATAATTTGAGCATCTATTCCCATGAAGGGCAAAAGTCTGTTTCTACGGAGGCTTCTGAAAATCCCAACTGGAAGATTGAACGACTTTCTACTTTTGTTTAATAGCACCAGTGTTTGAGGCTTGTCTGGGCCTGCTACGCCAGTTCCCTTCGTACAAGGCGGTGTTAACCTGGCTCTTTTAATTTCCAGCATCAGCTTGGGCGAATTCAAGAGCCCTTGACCCTTAGTCTCGCCAGATGATCCGCTTTCTTGTTACCTGGCACACCACTGTACCCAGGCACCTAATAAAATAGGATCACATCTTTCACGATTGCTAGACTTTGAGCGGCTGTGCTTGACTCTGGGGATGTTACCGCCTTCACAGCCACTTTTTGTGACCGTTTTGTAATATTTTATAATATGTATGTCTTAAATGCTGATATTGAGATACGTATTATAGTTAAAAGCGTCAATATTTTGAGTAGATACGGTCACGCCTTCTCATAATCACATGGTGCAACACAGCACAACAACATTCTTCGCTCTAGCAATCTTTTCAGATCAAGTTTTTGCATAGTAGTTCTGCCAGGCATATATACACAGCAACACAACTCCTTAGAAAATGCGCTTAGTTTTTGTAAGGATTTGCTTTGCTGTGTAGCATTATACAGGATGTTCAAAAAGTATGGATATGGCAAATAATCTGGGATTCTTCCCCGGCTATATTTTAATGATAGAAGAAGAAGAAGATCTCATATTTAACCGATAAAATAAGTTGAAAAACCACGAGTCTAAATAATTCTACCCCTAGAATTTTCCCTGGCTATCTGCCGGTGACATTGAATTTGACCTTGACCTTCAGGGCGATCCTAAGGTCATGTTTTTTTTTCAGATGTGGATATTTCTTTTGGATTGATGGTTTTCAAAGTTGTTTTATCGATTAGATATTTGATCTGGACCATAACTTTCGCTCTATCAATTTCCAGTGTCAAAAATATAAGGCTCCACTTGAAAAAATTGATTCGACTTTGAAATGTCTTTGAAGGTCCAGGTTAAGGTCACATTGAAAGGCATCAGATAGATAGGGAAAAATCTAACACTATGCTTGGGTATAAATTCTTTTACAGAGATTATTTTATGGACTAGATATTTATAATTAGGTTAGACAGACCTTGACCATGGCCTTCAAAGGTAATTTTTTCAAAGTCAATGGCTTACCTGAACGTAAATTTTCGGCTCAATCAGGTACGGTGTCGTTTGAAGAAATGAACTTGACCTTGAACTGACCTTGAAGGGCAAGATTAAGGTCAAGTTCTAGCTCATCGTTCACTAGCCTGGTCAATCCTACACATACGCGTGGATAGAACTTCGTTTAGACTGATGACTCGAGATTATCCGACGTATCCGAACTTTTTGAATACGGTAACAGCATTTTGCATGGACGCGTACAGACATGTTGAATTTTGTGTTGAATAAGTTGACGGAGCAAGGATGTTTCGTATGTACATATGGTTTATAATCTGGAAGTCAGATTACGTTACTTTCCATTAACAGATGTATGAAATGAAAATGTTCCTACCTAGGATTTGGAAGAACGACTAATAAGCTGGTGTTTAACATCAACATGAGCATAAGCTTCACGAAGCCTTGTTACGTCATATATAAATTTTCTAAATTGATATTACTGAATCGACAATAATTCTGTATTTTGTACCCCAAACTATTAAAGAATGTGAGTAGGCCAAAACTAGACATTTTGTAACAATGATCTTGAATCTGAGGTTATAATCACGTCAGTGACAGCTCATTAATCTGATGGAAAAATATAGAGAAGATCGCATCTGTGTAAATATCTCACTTTGAAATAAAGTTCTTTAGCAATACTAATAAAGCAATACAGGGCTTGTCTGTAAGCCCGACAGGAACAGGTATCGGCAATCGACTGACGTCATCGCAGCCAAGGTCATTGGAGCCAAGGTGTTACAGAATGCCTAGCTTCCCCTCTACTAAAGTGGTGAAACGGCCCGACGGAGTTTCCCTTATATTAGACATAGAACGACAACGCTTCTCAGTATGAAATTTTTTATTGATCGGACAGCTGAGCAGTCGCAAAGCAAGCAACCTCCCTGTTCACACACCCTACATCAGGATGTGTCATGAAGACTCGTATTAGACATGCTACCTTAGCTGACAGTGTCCAGTCGCAATGCAGGCAATAAACCGTAGCTGCTGTTTGATAGATATGACTTCATTGCTAGGATAGCTGAGGAATTCTTTATCGGAAATAAGCATCCATACGTAGGTAGGCATCGTCCCACATGTTTTTTAGGACTTTGTGGGTGTGCAATTCAGCATAGTTGGGTAGAATTCAGATGAACACCGGGCACAGATTTCTAAGTTCAGAAGCCATTTTGCCAGTCAATCGGTTGGAATTTGAGTAGCCCTTCAACCAGGCAACAGTTATATTTTGTTGCTTATGCAAGCACCCACAAGTGGCAAATGGCACTATATAATCTTCTCGTTGTAAGATTGCAACGCTTGAGAATCAGTCTTGTCTGTCTCATATGCGTGCAGATCCTAATATTGTTGCCTCTGATATTTTGTAACCTATTGATGACTGAAATGTCAAGAAATATTTCGTAACAGTTTTTCGTCAAGCTATGTTCTCGGGTATAAGAGACAAGATTCTACACTAGCAAATCTAAACGGTGTAGAATATTGTCTCTCAGAATGAAACATAAACCTAAGTCTTTCCAAGCTTTAACAAGAATAAATTGTCGAATCAATCAAAAATAGCCAATTCAGGCATCCAGAAGCCATCGTGACGGCCATTTTGAGCATGGATGTAGCCTTGGGCATTTATTATTCAAATGCGTTGAAAGCGTATACAGTACTTTTCAAAAAGGTCCCTCCACTCTATTTTTTGCACTCGGCAAACTGAAATTCGGTGTGATGATGCATATTTTAGCGTTAAACTGGCAGTTGGAAATGTCATGATGGCGACTGGGCGCCATATTGGAACATTTTTTTAGACGGAATGTGGGCCATGTGATACTTCACTTTTAAGCTACTTGGCTCTACTTATCAATTGGCTATCTTTCAAAACGGTGCACCGATGGTGGTCTGACAAAGTTGACAGTTTTTTTATGACTCACTTATAGCTTAGCAACCAATCATCAAAACGCTGTATACCAGTTTTCTTCTTTTAAAAGGGCCTATGTAGATGTATTACATTCCGTTTAGAAAAAATATAGATTTTGATAAGAGAAGAAAAGAAGATTATTGCTTCATTAAAGTGATTCAATATTCAGAAACGGTCAGCTTTGCTAGCTAGCCTGTCAGTCCGCCGTTTTGAGAAATATTGATTTTATATTTCAGGGCTATAAAGCACTTATAAGGAGCGCTCCCCTTTTCAGCGCTACATAATAGTGATAACATAATATACGCAAGATGACTTCCTCGAATTTCTTATAACCTTGAGAGCTAGACATACGCTGCGAGAAGCTACCACGCGTAATCGTACCCTGTGACTGGCGGTGCTTAGTCATCCGCGAAGTGCACGATTTAAGGTCTATTTATAAACTCTGCTGTAGCGTTGCCGTAACACATAACTTGAATCATGCTCTTGGCGTTAAACTGTTTATAAACAGGAATTCTGCAACGTTCATCCGCAACGCTGACGCTAGACTTGACGAAGTTTTAAGTTTCTGCCATTGTTGTTCTCGATTCAACTTATGAAAAGGAGCATGCAAATCATCCCAACTAACAATTATCACTCCTATTAGAGTTGCAAGAATGATTATACAGTATTCCTTACACAGCATTGTATACTGTAAGAACATCGGCAAAACCCTCTTAGAACAGCTATACAAGCGGAATGGGCACACCTAATAGGACACTTCAGACATTTAAGAGGTTGTATAAGGGCTGCAGGTAACAGTTATAAAACAAAAGTGTAAGCCTCTTGCAGCCGCTATAGGACATTTGCGTCAGTGCAAGATTCAGTTTTTGTCGACTATACAACTATTCTGTTACGTGATTCTACTTTATTGCAACCAAACTATTTCTTATGTATTGTATAGACGAAGTGAAGAATATATAACTAACACAATACAGTCATCTTGTTTACTTACATATCGGCCATTGTGAATTTCATACCCAGGTATATGATAGACTTCTACACTGTGAATAGAGGAATAAATGTTTGCCCAATATGGCGGGTGGTTGTGTATAATCATGGCATCGTCCATGTTGTCTTTAGTTTATTAGAATATTTTGGTGTTGCCTGCAGGTGTTATACAACAATTTGACAAATGTCAGAAATGAAATACCGACAGAGTCGAATGATTTACCTAGAATTTGTACCAGATCTAATCTTCTGAACAGTTGATAAAACCTTTTTAACCAATATGCATGCGTTGTTTGGTTATGGTGAAGTTGTTTACCAACATATTGAGCATATGTACAGCCTTTAACAGTTGCTAAACAACAGTTGTATAAGTGCTTCCGTTGGGAGCAATTTGTTGGCTAAAGTTGTAAATTTGCACAGCAAAACAACAAGGCTCGGGTTTGTTTTATAAACGTTACCATGGATGCCACAACACAACCATTTTGAGTAACCTGCAAATATGCCGTAAAAAAAAGTTGTATAAAAGTTTATGCAACAGCTAAAAATTTGTCCTATAAGGTGTTGTGTAACTATGCTATAAGAATATTTTATACACCTCATTTTAGAGCAAATATGTTGCAGAAAGCAACAACAATAGAGAGCTTTTATGGCTGAACGGTTCTTTTACCAAAAGCTTATAGCACTACTTTGCTAGTTGGGATGTGTTTGTTGCGACAGATCAGTTGAGTCTTCCACGTACTTTTCGCTCTGTTTGACATGACATGTTTTGTTTTGCTCGGCATGGCTTCCTTCGAGACTGTTTGCTATATTTTATTTAGTTTATTCAAATAATATGATTTACCAAAGGTGTATGTTACAAGTTTGGTCTTCAAACATGTGCAAAAGAAACCAATTTTGGGTTAGGTTATGCGTCACGCGTCGTAACGTTAGCAAGTTTATAAATTCGTTTTAACTGCCAGTCGCAGCGGTACTGGTACGCCGGCGGCGGTACGGCAACGTCAGAGTTTCTAAATCGGCCTTCTAAGCCGGAAAACAGTACGTGGTTCACATATTCATCCAATGAGAAGCAATAGATCCGATCAGTATGGTCAATTTCTTTTAAAATGTCTCTCAAACTAGAGAATGGTTATACGATTTGGGCAGACCCATATTAAATCAAGAAATACGTCATAAATTACTTAGCTCAGCTACAAAAGCCTATTTTTTCATTTGCATCCAGATATTAAATTAGCGGCCGAAGTCTAATCAACAAGAAGCATTTGCGCTCTACCCGAAGCATGGAACAAATCTGAAACAATATCTAGATCGATTGGGCAGCAATTAAATGAGCATTTTGTTGAAAATAACAGTATCTCAGAGTAGCTGTACAAAATTCTGTTTGATAAATCCTTTGAGGACACAAATAAAATTG